CATCACGTAACTCATCCCGTGGAGGTGGAGAACAAGGAGATAAATGTCGTGGCCTCTTTACCGGTTGCCTATCATGAGGTGATGGTGGAGAAGAGGCTCGATGATGTGACGGGATAGGTGATGGCTCTCGTTCTAGAGGTGTATAGTCGGGTCGATCGGGTGATGGCTCTGGGTGAGGTGATGGCTCTCGAATTGGAGGAAGTGGATGCTGCTCATCATCCATGCCATCAAAAAAACTCTGACTAGCTTGCCACCAATCAGTGGCAAGCTCTTCCTCCGTGGGTGTCAGTCTTTGTAATGGAATGTTGGCCTCCTAACAATATAAAAACTCAAACAAAGTTAAACGTCTACTATTAATAACTTGTTTATATATTATATGAAAGTATTTGTGTTAACTTATATTATTTATTGTCGCATATGGTATTAAGTCTTCCCAATCCAACAGATTTTTCCTCTTCCAGGAAATAGCCCTGGGAATATCATTTGACGTTTTTATTGCATATGTACGCATGCTGGGGAAAGCCTCGAATATCCAAATCTACAAACAATATAATAACAAAATTAGTAATTGTTAAATAATTAATTATAATTTTAGAAACATTATATAGAAATTCTTACCTTAAAGGCCCAAACAAAGCCTGACAAAGTGTATTTCGACCCATCGCCACGCAAACTTTTGCGGTCATCAAGGCAGTAGACAACTTAGTCCAGGTAGCTTTCCATATATACGAACCCCACGGAAACAGATTCCATGCATTCAGGTCCTCTACCAATATTATTAGCTCCCGAGGAATAGGTTGTCTGGCCTCTCTGCCTAAAAAGCCGGCATACACAAGTAGTAGAAGGCATACTCGGACAACATCGACGTCATCCATCCGAGTGAAACCAGCTTCTTATTAAACAATTTCTTCAGGTCGTCGACGTGTAGGTTCGGCTTCTCCATTGACTCATCCGGAAAAAACCCGGGATAACCATGATGGGCGGGCGATATGACGAGTGTACCGGCCTACATCATCGTGTCCGAATCGTAGACCAGTGATTAAGCAGAACTCCTTCCGCCCAAAACAAGTATACGCTAGTGGAAAATGAAACCATATCTCTTCCTCACCACGTTGTATACTGTCGGGTAGATTTGATGTCATGGTCTGAAGCCACAAATGGGTCAAATTAGCATCTCCACCCGGATGCTGTACTCTCAGCCATGGCCCGAAGCAGGTTTCCTCAAACAATTGTCTTTGTGCAGGTGAAAGCTTCGAAGCAATTGTAGTGGCTAGGCTAACTTTATTCCTTAATGTCAATGAAGCCGAAAAAAATTTCTACAAAAACAATAAACATACCAAGTTAGATATACCAAAAACTACACTGTGAAGATATACCAAAAACAATAAACATAAAAAGTAGTAGTTTATTCTTGAAACTAAAATTTGCAACACTGTTTTGTCTTTTGGTTGAAATGAAAATCGCAACGAGAGAATGACTGTCGCAACGAGAGAAATGAAAATCGCAACGAGAGAATCGCAACGCAAAATGAAAATCGCAACGAGAGAATCGCAACGCGAAATGAAAATCGCAATGCGATTTTGGTTTCGCGTTGCGATTCTCTCGTTGCGATTTTCATTTCGCGTTGCGATTCTCTCGTTGCGATTTTCATTTTTCTCGTTGCAGATAGTCATTTTCACGTTGCGATTTTCATTTATCTCGTTGCGACTCTTCTGCAAATTGAAACTTGAATGGATTGCATTACTTCAACCAAAAGACAGAACAAAGACAAGACAAATACTAACTTGAAAATCGCAACGAGAGAATAGCAACGCGAAATGAAAATCGCAACAAGAGAATCGTAACGCGAAATAAAATCTAAGTGAAATGGTTAATCTATTATTGAAATGACCAGTAAACTTATCATCAGTTTCAATATGAAAAACCTACAATAATGCAAAAATTTCAAAATAAAAATAATTAAAAAAACTAACCCTCGGATGTTGATTTTCCATTTCTGAATATTGTGAGGGATTTCTGACCGTGAATGGTTGTGAGGGATTTCGCCGGAGATGGGGACGGAAATCTTCGGAGATGGGGACGGATTTCGCCGTAGAGAGTGAGAGATGGAGATGGGATTGAGTTGTGATTTTAGGTTTTAGGTTATGAGTTGCGATTACGGGATTTTGTCTTAATATTCGTTTTTGTAATTTGAAAATAAAATACGCGTAGCGATTATAATGGCGCTTTAAAAATCGCGTTGCGATTTACGGATACGCGTTGCGATTTTACGTATTGTCGTTGCGATTTACGGATACGCGTTGCGATATACGGATACGCATTGCGATTTACGGATACGCGTTGTGATTTACGGATACACGTTGCGATTTACGGATACGCGTTGCGATTTATGTGTTCGCGTTGCGATTTTCATATTCGCGTTGCGATTCTGGAAAATCGCAATGCGAATTTGTACTATCGCATTGCGATTGTCAAGAATCGCGTTGCGATTTTGGAAACTGATTTGCGATTCTGGGGATCGCGTTGCGATTTTTATTTCGCGTTGCGATTTTGTTGGTCATTTTGGCAAATCCAAAAAAAGTTGGTTAAAATCGTATATTATAAGACATTTTTTGTCACTGAGGCGATTTTCTCTAATTTAAATTGTGTTACTTTTATTGTCTTTTGATGATTTAATATTTTTTATTAGAAAAAAGAGTTGGTAAAAGAAAGAGATGGGTGAATCACTTGCAAGAACAAAAAGAGTAGGTGGTGGTGTCGCGGAAAATTATAGGAAGAGGATCGTACAGAAAAAAGGGTGTAAAACGACATGGGATGTTTTTTTAATTAATTTGAGATAAATACAAGATAAAATCTATTTAAAAATAACTCTTAATTATTTAACGTTAAACATTTATTATTTTTTATATTTATAATATTTGAACTCGTTTAATAGGTAAATTACATCATTAATCACTAAATTTTAAATATTATTTAATACATATCACTAAATTATAAAAATTTTGATTTTATCATTAAATTTTTTGATTTAATTTTTCATGGACCGTTGAATCATAAATTGTGTGATGACGTGGTTTTTTTCTTTTTTGTATTATACGAAAAAGTCATCAATTTTTTTCGGTTATCATTGCTCTCAATCCCACTTGTCGAGCACGATAAGTTTGATATCAAAATATTCATATTTTTTCTTTTTTCTTCATCTTCTCAAATTGATTTTCATGAAAATCGCTTAAAATCAAAGAAAATTCATATACATAATAAACATTTAATGGTTTAATCTTCTTTGTTGATCGTCCGATAAGATTAAAACTGAAATATTTTTCGTATTCTCGAAAAAAATATTTCTCATTATACGATTTTTCAAATGAACACCCAAAATCTTTCAAATATGAAAAAGGTTCAAAACCAAAAAAATATGGATTTTTTGCTTAAACTTGTGAGATTTTTTTATAAAAAAAATATAATTTTTTAATATGATAGAGAATGATGAGATAAGTTTATTAATGTCTAAGGTGACTGCAAAAGATATCAAAAATAATATTTTTGACAATGGTTAAAAATAAAGAACCCTATAAAGATGATGAAATAAAAAAATAAAATAAAATTTTACTGATATAATAAGTTAATATTTTTTTAATTTCTACATCGACACATATTGACATTAAAATGAAATGTCGCTTATTGTTAATAAATTAACATCCAAAAAAATAACAAAGGATGCCATCTCATAAGTATATGTTTTGATACATAAACTTGCCTTCAAGGTTTAATTTTGTACCTAAATATTTTTTGGTATGCGAACTTTTTTTTAAGATTTAATTTAATACATGAATTTGATTTTAATGTTTAATTTGATATTTAATTTAACTTATTAGTTTATAATAATTAAAAATTATAAATATCTATTTGAATTAAAAAACGATATTCTTATATCGATTTGAACATTAAAATTAAATTTAAATACTTAAATTAAAAAAAAGGGTTTTAAGTGCCAAATTGAACTTTATTGAGAAGGACAAGGGGCAAAGTCAGAGATCTAGAGTCCTAACCCCTTAAATGGTATAACTGTAACTTTAATCCTTCTAAAACATTAAGTTTCTAAAAAAATTGATCAAAAATCATAAGATTTCAATATCTTTAAATATATAATTAAGTAAAACAATGATACATTATTATTTTCAATATTTAAAAAACTTATAATTTAATTATTACTTCTAGAAATTATCTTATAGATGATCAAAAGTGTTAAAAAAAATTAAATAAAAATCTTAGGGGATGTTTGATAAAATAAAATGATTAAGCGTTGAATGATTCAATAGCCTGAATGATTCAAAGACTCTATATGAATTGACTCTGAATGTAACATGTTGTTTGATAATGGTTCTGAATGAACAATTTGAATTATGAATATTTTCATTTTTACCTTTATAATGATTTATTATATTACAAGATATGATATGATTGTTTAATAAGACAACACGTGAAAAAATAGGTATTATGATAAAATATCGGATGCTTAATGATTCATAATGTACTTTAATGCTGAATCATTCATTAATGTTTTGTTGTTTCATTCAACATAATCTTCATTCAGAAGTGAGAAGTAAACACGCTAAATACTTTCAGCATTCAAAGCTGAATGGCTCAATACTGAAAGCATTCAGCAGTAAACAAACGGACCCTTAATTAATCTTTTCAACGGGACTAAGTATAACAATTTAATTTGAACTTATAATAAAAAATGAAGAACACTAGTAACCATTCAAACGTAGCCATAAACTCAAACCAGAATTGAAATGGAATCAATGGCGTCCTTCTATAGATATAGATTCTCTAGTTCTTTTGTTGAAGCAGCAGAAGAAATTCTATATTTCTGTAGCTATACTCATTTAAGTCACACATACGTGCATCAATCTCTTCCATAAAATGAAATTTGTGGATATCTCTTACTCCTTGAAGGCTAGGCAGGGGCTGTGAACAATATCCTCTTATCATATGATATCCAAACATACATGATTTTTCCTGGCTCTCAGAATCCCGGGAAATTTCCTGCTTCTTTGGCGGCAAGACGCGAGAAACGTGACGGAACTACTGAGGTGATTTTAAATAAAAGAAAAACAAAAAATGCATTCGCTCGGCCTCAAGTCTTTTACTGTTTTGAATTCCGGAGCAACGAGGAGCACCTGCTTTCCTGCTCGGGTCGGTCACGGATTGGCGATAGACCTGGACTTTGGGAGGAGGAGAAGGGTTGGGTCGGGTTGTTGGGATGGTGGCTCTGCTGCTCGCAAGTGTTTGGTAGTGGGTTGTACGGTGGATAGGAACGGGAATGGCGGGAACGCTGGTGGTGGCGAGAGACCGAGTATGGACCCCAATCCAACTCAGAATCAGAGTTCGTTTTTATCTCGGAGCCAAACTTATGCAATGCTGAAACAGCAAATGGAGGCTGCTGCGAAATCTGAGGTCTGTTTTTTTTCCATTCAATTTTTTAAATTATAAAAAACGAGGTAAGAGATTTGTTTGAGATTTTAGGATTATAAAGAAGCTGCGAGGATACGTGATTCTTTGAAAAGACTTGAGGAAGAGGAGCCTGTTTTGAGATTCAGGGGACTGATCAAAGAGGCAGTTGCTGATGAAAGATTTGAGGTATTTCTCAACTCCTTTTAGCACATTCTGATGGCCTTTTATATCCATTTTTGTACTCGTTTTTTTTCTTTAGTTTTTCTATTGTATTCTCTATAATTTGAACACGGATGAGATCATAGGTCTCATGTTTTTTTTTTCCCCGTTTATTTTCTTTCATCTTTTTTACTTTTTCCGAGAATCAACATGAATGCAACAAAAGCTTACCGAAAGATATTGGAAGTTAGACTGCTGCTTGCTGAATTATGCTTATTTCATGCCACATACTCATGAATCTGGAATAAATTACTTTCTATTCTTTTAACACCATAAGCTCTTTCTGGATTCATTTCTGTTATAGTTTACTAAAAAAACACCAAGTTACTGTTTTCATTTCTAATGTTAAACAATTAGAGATTATTTATGGATAACGATCTTATATTGTACATGTTTATGATATACATGTTGACTCTAATGCCTTACCTGCAATTCTTCAGGATGCTGCTAGATATCGTGACGAGTTGAAGGAAATTGCACCTCACTCTCTCCTGAAATGTTCAAGTGATGCAACAACCTTGGTATGAAATTAATCTAATTTCACACAGCTGTCATTGCTGGTTTCTAGAAGGATATTTTATTACTTTGATTTTCTTTTTCTAGTCTCTAGAGGACTACACTGGAGTGGTTAATAAGTTGGATTGTTTTTAATCACTGTTTTAGCAGGATTCGACCTCCTTTCACTTGGTTTCTAATATTCAATTTGGTGTTGGGTTTGTTGATTGCTTTTAAATTTCTGGATGCAAAGGTAAACATAAGTTCGAGGAATTAGAAATAAATGTTTAAATTTTCACAAATAACGTAAATGAAATTTTACAAACTTTACATATGATTTTTTTTACATTTTAGGCTTCTCTTTCTTTTTAATCTTTAATGTAGTTTGTTTTTCTTGATAACATCATTTTAAAAAGTAAAAGATAACCAGTGCGAGCAACAAGTGAACAGTCGAATAAATTTGAGATCTTTTTGAACTGTGAGGTGTCCTTATTGAGGTATCTTCATTGCAAGGTTCTAGAATTGTATTCTAGCTATATAGGTTGAATTTGCTCATTAATGTTGTCAGGACTAGATTTTCAAGTGAGATACTCGTTCTGTTAAGTTTCTTTAGGGGAAAAAAAAAAAGGTTCTCTGGCCAAACTTGAGGTATTCTTTGTGGTCCTAATTCCTTCCCAAGTATCTATTTACCCTTCCTTATTGGACATTTTAATATGTTAATCTGGATCCGTGAAGACAACCAACAAAAGACAATTGTTTATTTGAAGATGAAATAGAAAGAAAAGAACTGTAAGTCTGATGATATATTTGGATATTTCAGGGAATCAGAGTTCAAGTTAGGAGTGTGTATATAGAGGGGCGTAGTCTGCCTTCAAGGGGACAATACTTTTTTGCATACAGAATAAGAATAACCAATAATTCAGATCGTCCTGTTCAGCTTCTCCGAAGGCACTGGATTATCACAGATGGCAATGGGAAAACTGAAAATGTTTGGTGAGTTAACCCATTACCTTTTTCTTTTAGCCAAAAGGAAAAACAACACATTATCTTCTTTGTTATCTTTTGCATTTCATTTTTAACATAGTTTCAATCGTCTCCTTCCTTTGTTTGAAAAGGATTGGATGGAAGTTATTTTATTCCTTAATATCATAAAATCTGATCTTGTTGCATTCTTCCGCTGCAGGGGGGTTGGAGTTATAGGTGAACAGCCAGTTATTCTTCCCAAAACAGGTTTCGAATACTCGTCTGCGTGCCCATTAAGCACTTCCAATGGGAGAATGGTATGAGAGGCCTGTTCTTTATTTGCTTGCTCTTTAGCTAGAAGAATGCTTAATTTTGCCAAAACTGAAGTACTGTTTGATTAGTGGAATTAGAAAAATATTTCTTTTTGTTTAACTTGCGTTTTTTTATTTGGCTCTTACCTTTATAAGAGCATTTATCTTGATGTTTGATTCATGATTTAATTGATGCAACTTGCTCTAATCCTTTTTAGTTATTGGGTACATTGCTTCCATGTTTTGAAAAAGAAAGTTCATATTCCAAGGTTTCAGTCTGCATTAGAAAGTTCATAGTCCAAGGTTTCAGTCTGCATTAACACATTAATATATTATCTTAGTTCACAATAAGTTTGACCCTAATTTTGTTCTTGTTATTTTCGTCACTTGATTGTGGGTGTGGACTGTGGATGCTTAAATTCTGTTGCAATTGCTAAATGTCCATGGCCTGGTCTCTTGTATGTATTGCATACCTTTTTTGCAACTTTTGTGCATTCATTTTTATCACTTCCGGTGCCCTTGTATATCTTGTGATCTGAATCCATCAGCTTTTTGGCCTACTTGGTCTATAAAGGCTGTCCATGTTCTTACTTTCTTGGTTACATTGCGGTGCAGGAAGGAGACTTGGAAATGAAACACATTGACAGAGTAGGATCACCTACTTTCAACGTAGCCATCGCCCCGTTCTCTCTCTCCACACTAGGGGACGGTGCCGATACCTTCTGAAATCTGAAATCTTCTTGTTATCTTGAGAAGCAGAGTAACCATACCAGGTTATTTTCCAATTTAAGCTCGGCATTGTAAAGTATGTTCTTTTGTGATCCAGATAGATATTCTTATATAAGAGATAGTATAGGTTAATATTATAGTCAGTTTCGAGAGAAAGATAATGAATCAATGAAATGTATGTTGCAAACTTTATATAGATGTGTGTGTATAAATGATTTATCTTTTGTTTGGCAACTCTCAGACCTTGTGAAAGTAGTAGTAACAAGGCACCTAACCATGGACGACATGGTGAAACTCATTGTGTGTTTTGCACGACATTACATGCATATAGATGTGTGTGTATAAATGATTTATCTTTTGTTTGGCAACTCTCAGACCTTGTGAAAGTAGTAGTAACAAGGCACCTAACCATGGACGACATGGTGAAATTCATTGTGTGTTTTGCACGACATTACAAGCAGATAGATGGATGCAGTGAATGGTAAAATTCATTTCCTCCCATCTTATCAATTGGAAAACTTTCCCTCCCATCTTATCAATTAGAAAACTCTCCCTTCGTCGTCGAAAAGTCGATAGAAAAGTTTTTTTTAACAGTTTGGGGTGATTATAAGTATATGTTCAGAATTTTCTTAAACAATTGACAACGCGCACACACTCTACAAACGTAGATACTTGAATTCGAGATCTCTAGGGAGAACAATATTTCCTTATACCATTGAGATCACCTAGTTCAAATCGATAGAAAAGTAGGATGGGCAGAATTCAGTTAACCAGGGGCGGAACACAAGTTGGACTAGAGGGGGTCATGCTCCCACTCCCAATTTAAAAATTTCTAGTTTTGACTCTTAAAATTTAAAAAAAAAATCAATTTGCCCCCCAAAATTTTTAGATATTCAAATTAAATTTTAAATTTTTTTAATATTCTTAAATAAAACCCCCTCCTGTCGATACTCGTTTTCGTCCTGTTGTTGTTGTTATTATTATTATTGTTGTTGTTGTTGTTGTTGTTGTTGTAGGACTTTACAAAACCCAATTCGGGCCCCAATTACAAAGGGTAATCCGGCCCAAACCCGGAGTCCAACATAGTAGATTACACTCAAAACCTAGAGCACATTTATAACCTGACACAACACTAAAAAATTAGGGTTTCCAAACCCTAACCCCTTTAATAGTTACCGCTGCATAAATCTCAGTCGTTGGATCTGAAAGAGATCCAACGGCTCTAATGAAGGATCTACCGCTGCCTATCTGCACTAATCATCGGCCACCAACACTTCCACTAACTATGCATCAAGCCCCTTGCCACAACAAGATCCAAGTCAACAAAGCAAACAAACTGTAACACCCCCAACCCGTACTCGACCCGGATACGAGTCTGAAGTGTCACATTGACTTTTCAAACTTTGACACTTAAAGAAAAACAGGGAAATTTTAAACTTTCATTAAAACAAAATACATTAATTTACATAAAAGATACCACAAAATACAAAATTGATCAGAGCATTCGTAATTAACAACTTATTACATGCCAACACTCTATAGACAACCAAAATACTTACTTTGTTAATTACTTCTGATCTGATCTTTTAGTAGTGATGATGTCCTTGCCACTTCTATTACTGCTCTTCTTGTTTCTTGGTATCTACGTGTAAATCACTTACACGCAAGTCATAGACTTAGTGAGGCATAATATAAATATATAGATATAATAATGCATTCATAAACATGCATTCTTACCATACGATCATGACTTCTTAATTTGCATGCATCTATTACATTATAACATATATGATGGTGACATGCACATATAAAACATATATTCTTATGCTAATTCCACTTTAATTTATCTTTGGATTGCTCATGTACATTATTGAGAACAGAAGATACGCGAGTACACTGAGGTTGTGCACAATGTTGTCACCACAGCTCGAATAAAATCCCATTAGGGGTACTGAATATTTATCCCGAATGACCACTATGTCCCGAAGAACCACTATGTCCTGAAAGACCACTGATAATCTCTCGACTCTTGGCATGCCAATTATACATACAGATCTCATATTAAATAACATGGGTTTAATTATAAATACATTTCTCATTTCCTATCTCTTTCATCACTATCTATGTAAACACATAAGCCACTTCATATGATCATTTCCATTATTTCACATACCTGGAAGGATTCTCTGATAATGGCATTCATTCATATAATATCATGTTAAATCATGAATGAAAAATGCATGGAATCACTATAACGTTAACATATATATATATATATATATATATATATATATATATATATATGCATGTGCGTGAATATGGCATCATAAATTCAATGCTAAGAGATAGACTTGTCGCAAGCCTTATCTCAATTCTATTTCATCTAGGATATGCACTCACATTGGCCTTGCTTGTTTTGACTTGATCCTAATCCTTCGTTTGTTCTAGAACGAAATTACGTTCTATATTTACATAGTAATACATTGATATTAATCAATATAATTAATATATTCTAAACTATCACTCAGGCTGAAAAGAAAGTTATTTTCATCTCTTAATGAAGGTATGCATCGATGCACTACATCATGTATCGATGCATCCCTTGACGCGTGCATCGATACACTGATGGCATTCGATGTTTTTATTTTAAAGGAGTGCATCGATACACCTTGAACAAGTTTTGGGATTTTACCCTTGATGCATCGGTACACATTGAATGTGCATCGATGCACATAGCTCATAAATGTTATTTTAGCACAAAAATCTCTTCATAATATTCTCAACACTTTATATTTCCGCTCTTTTTATATCCTTAACTTGTATACACCTACTTAAACTAATTAATACCCATTCAATACCTCTTAACTTAAAAATCCAATCCTCCACATAGATTTCAAGAATCTCCCTCAATTTCCAACATGTTCTAAATCTAATTCTAACACTTTGTATGTCTTAATTAAGTCGATGACAAGTCAAATTCAACCTCCAATTCCAAAAATGAACTCTATTTCAAGATTTCATTTAAGAACTCCTAATCTTTAATTCTTCCTACACCCTTCATCTTGTTGTTTCAAAGTAAATTAAGCTTTCATTAAGCTTAATTATCATCTAAGGATCAAAACCAAACTTAAATTTCAACTAATAATCAGCTTATGAGAAATCTCACATTTGCAATGAGTCTTCACGTTGGGAGAAAAGAAGAGAAGAAGATAACTCTGAAAGCTTATGTATTTCCCTCTTCACTCTACGTGGAAACATATATAACCATAACAATTAAATTATTTCCCTTGTCAATGACTATTTTGTCCTTCTACTCCTCCTTATTTCCAATTTGATCCTACACCACATTTTTCATATAAGTCCTGAATTGTTCAATTATTATACTTTAATCACCAAATTTTGAAACTTTACAATTTAGTCACTAACCCAGTATTGAGGATGTTACAAATCTTTCCCCCTAAAAAAATTCGTCCTCAAATTTTTATTACGCGAAAAGATGGGGGTACTGAATCCTCATGTCTTATTCACGTTCCCACGTTGCTTCCTCTATCTTGTGATTCCTCCACAAGACTTTAACTAATTGAATAGTCTTGTTTCTTAACTGCTTAACTTCATGAGTTAAGATCTGAACCGGTTCTTCCTCATACGTTAGATCTGGCTGAATCTCGATCTCTTCTGGAGTCACAATATGGGAGGGATCAGATCGATACTTCTGAAGCATTGAGACATGAAAGACATCATGAATTTTCTCCATTTCAGGTGGTAACTCTAATTGATATGCCACTGATCCAACTCTTTTTACTATCTCGTAAGGTCCAATGAACCGAGGACTCAACTTTCCTCTTCGACCAAACCCTAAAACTTTTTCTGAGGAGACACTTTAAGAAACACTTTATCTCCAATTTGATATTCGATCTCTTTTCTCTTTAGATCCACGTATGATTTCTGTCTATCAGCTGCTTCTTTGAGATTATTTTGAATTACTTGAACATTTTCTTCCACTTCCTGGATCAACTCAGGACCAAGTATTTCTTTGTCTTTAAGCTCGAACCAATTTAAGGGCGTACGACATCTTTTTCCATAAAGAGCTTCATAAGGTGCCATTTTAATGCTTGATTGATAACTATTGTTGTACGCGAATTCAGCAAGAGGAAAGTACCTTTCCCATGATCCTTTGAACTAGATAACACAAGCTCTCAACATATCCTCCAAAATTTGGACTGTTCTCTCGGATTGCCCATCGGTTTGAGAATGAAATGATGTACTAAAGTTCAACCGAGTTCCCAACGCTTTATGTAATGATTTCCAAAACAGTGAAGTAAATCTAGGATCTCGATCCGAAATAATAGAAACAGGTACACCATGTAGACGTATAATATCCCTGATATACAACTCAGCATACTTATCCAAGGTAAAGTCAACTCGGACCAGAATAAAATGAGTTAACTTAGTCAATCTATTTACAATCACCCAGATGGAATCTCTTTTATTTGGAGTCAAAGGTAACCCCATTATAAAATCCATTATTACATTCTCCCATTTCCGCTGAGGAATAGACATTAGTTGCAATAATCCTGACGGAACATGATGTTCAGCTTTGACTTGCTGACACGTCAAACATTTGGATACGAATTCCGTAATGTCTCTCTTCATTCCAGGCCACCAATATCGACTCTTGAGATCTATATACATTTTATTTTCTCCCGGATGCATAGTCAATGGACTACAATGAGCTTCCGTTAACAAGTCTTTCTTCAACTCATCATCATCTGGAATCACTAGCCTCCCTTGATAATATAGGTTCTCATTAGCTTTCATTTCATAATCCGTAACCTCTCCATTCCTTATCTGTTATAACTTCTTTAAACACTTTTCATCTCTAGCTTGCAATTCTTTAATTCGATCTAGCCATGATGGCTTGAGAGTCAATTCTGCACATATGACACCGTCTCCTCTTAACGATAGTATGGCATCCACAGCTCGTAAGGCTGCAAACGCCTTTCGGCTTAAGGCATCCGCTACCACATTCACTTTCCCTGGATGGAAACCGATCACTACATCATAATCTTTTAAGAATTCCGCCCATCTTCTCTGTCTTAAATTTAACTCCTTTTGGGTGATCAAATATTTCAAACTCTTATGATCTGTATACAAATAGCATCGTTCACCATATAAGTAATAACGCAGATCTTAAGAGCAAATACTACTGCAGCCATCTCCAGATCGTGCGTGGG